GTGCGTAGGTTCTTTTGGATTGGTGTTTTGGGTTTCTTAGGAACACTTAACATGAAATCTACTCTCTTGAAAAATTTTTAAGTTCATAATATAGTATTGTTCACTGGAAGTACTATGTTGTATAGCATATCTCTAGAACATTCTCATTTTGTGTAACTGAAAAGTTATACCCATTTAACAACATCTGCCCACTGCCTTTTCCCTCTAGCTTCTAGCATCCACTAATCTACTCTGTGCTTTCACAAGTTTGATTATTTTAGATAACTCATCAAAGTGAAATAATGCAGTATTTCTCCTTCTAGAACTAGCTTATTTCATTTAGTATAGTGTCCTCCAGTTTCATCCATATTGTAGGGAACAGGGTTTTCTTCTTTTTTAAATGCTGAATATTATTCCATTATATCTGTATATCACATTCTTTTTATCTACATATGGATATTTATTTCCATATCTCAACTATTGTGAATAATACTGCAATGGACATAGGAAAGCAGATATATTCTTGGGATCCTGATTTAAGTTCTTTTGAATATAACCCAGGAGTGGGATTTCTAGATCACATGAGGAGGGTGGGTCTATATTTAATTTTTTAAGGAACTTCTATGCTGTTTCCCATAAGCGGCTGTATTCCTGTCAACAGTGTACAAAGGTTCTGGTTTCTCTACATCCTCATCAACTCCTGTTATGTATGTTTGTTTGTTTCTTTGTTTGTTTCCCTCCTTCCCTTTCCTTCCTTCCTTCCTTCCTTCCTTCCTTCCTTCCTTCCTTCCTTCCTTCCTTCCTTCCTTCCTTCCTTCCTTCCTTCCATAGTACTCCTTCTGACTGGTATAAGGTGATATCTCATTTTGGTTTTGACTTGTATTTCTTTGGTGATTTATGATGTTGAACACTTTTCATGTATCTGTTGTATACTTTTGTATATCATCTTTAGAGAAATGTCTGTTCAGGTCTCTTGCCTATTTTTAATTGGGTTTTTATTATTATTTGCTATTGAGTTGCAGCAAATCCTTATATATTTTGGATATTTACTCCTTATTATATACATGGTTTTCATATATTTTCTCCCATTCTGCAGGTCATGTTTTTATTCTGTTGATTGCTTCCTTTCCTGTGCAGAAGATTTTTAGTTTGATGTGGTCCCACTTGCCCATTTTTGCTTTTGTTGCCTCTGCTTCTGGTGTCATATCCAAGAAATCGCTGCCAAGATCAATGTCAAGAAGGCTTTCCACTATGTTTTTTCCGTAGGATATTTACTGTTTCAGGTTTTGTGTTTATATCTTCACTCCATTTTGAGTTTTGTTTGTTTGTTTATGATATAAAATAAGGGTCCAATTTCATTTTTTGCAATGTAAATATCCAGTTTTCCCAACACTGTTTGTTGAAGAAACTATCCCTTGTCTTCATTATCTTTTTCCATAGGGTTTAATGACTGAGTTTATTTTATGGAGCCTTAGAACACCAACTTCATTATTTCACCATGTATATATATATATCTGTCAGATTTACATAAAAATTTAGAATGAGATACTCCTTTGGAAAGGACAGGATTAAGATGCTCAAATGTCAGATTAGATGCTTGGACTCTATTTGTCTTACAATTGCAGGCTTTATTCAGCAAATGTTTACTGGGGTCCTGAATATAAATAGAATATATTCTGTCCTGCTTATTCTCTCTTTCAATCTCAATCGCTCCCTTCCTCTCTCTTTGTGTATGTGTTTCTTGTCTCTGTTATTCTCTCTTTCTCTTAGGCCTTCCCTCTCTCCTTCTGTCTGTATTATACAAATGTGGCTTAGATGTGATCCTTTTTTTTTGAGATCTTAAAATCTAATTGTAGTTAGAAGACAAAAATGTATATTTTAAAGAAGAAAATGATAAATTGTAAATATAGCTTAGATCCATGTCTTGGGTAGGTGAGAAATGAGGGAAAGCACTAGGCATTTGGTGTGTCACTTCAAGCATGGCAGGGTGTCAATCTGAAGATAGGGGGAAGACAATGTTCAAAGAGTAGAGAATGAAGTAAGCAAAAACTTGGAGTTAAAAGGTAGGAGGAGGAAGATCAGATAACTAAGATAGGTCTTAAAGGATGAAAAGAGTTGACCAAATTTAAAAATAGGAAAATAGACTTTTGAAAGAGAGGACAAAAGAAAAAAAATAATTCAGCCTAGGTAAAGATGAAGGGGGTGGAACTTAGAAAAATCTCTATGAAGCAGATTATGGTGGATGGAATAAGTAGCAAGTGATAGACTAGAAACGTGGATTAGAACTGGGTGGTAAAGGGCTTTGAGGGCCAGAATAAAGACTTTGGATCTGTCTTGGAGACAATGAAGAATTGACCACTAGAAATTGTAAGAAGAGAAATGGTATGTGTAGATGCAAGGTGCTTGAATGGTGTGGTTGGTTGCTGTGAGTTAGGACAGTGGCTCTGAGGATGAAGGGAGATAGCGGAGACAGTATAAATTCTCACTGAGTAGCAAAGGGCAGGTTTCTATGAGCTAGAGCCAGTGTGCTACACTGAAGATAAATAATAGATAAGCATAAGTCATTTTCTGCTTCTCGAGATTTTAGGAGGCAGACGTAGAGCCTCCCAAAGAGAACAGTTTGTAGCTTTTACCACTAAAAAGTCTAATTCCAAATTGTTTACTGATTTTTTATGGACTCGTTAAATCTCCTAAAGCATACCATTTAAAGCAATTATCACTTCGTGGTTCATATAAAATTTTCATACAAGTTTTTGGCTTTTGTCCCTGCCTGGGTTTTAGTAGCTTTCTCAGTCTCCTCAGACAGGTAAAGTTTTATAGTTGCTTTTTTTAAAAAAAAAACTCTGTTTTAACAAAATGAACTGATGTTCTTGGACTTTTCCTGGGAAATCTTTTACCTTAGAAAGACATTGTGTACAATATGGATTTCATTGTTCTTCTCATAAGAACTGTCATTGAAACTGATATTTTTCTAGTAGATGCATTTTCTTACAATGTTTAAGGACTCTTACATTAGTTTGCATCATCCATGTTAATGTTAACTCTGCTTTCATGAACAATCTCTCTTGGTTAGGGTTAGGATTGGCTCTGTTTCACAGACTTAAATAACAAGAACGTATTTTCTCACATGAATGCCAGACTTAGGTAATTGAGTGGGTGACTGGTGCCACTGCTCTACAAAGTCCTTGGGGACTCAGCTCCTTCCAGCTTACCTGCCACCAGTCTCTCAGGAGGAGCCCTTGTTTTCATGGTCTGGGATGATCCAGCCATGACACCCCTGTTCCACCAGCAGTAAGGCAAAGGGTTGAGTACAGGACAAGGAGCACTTACAAGCTGTCTGTATGGAAGGAGACTTCACGCATACGAAGGCCCTTCAGCCTACATCTGATTGGCCAGTGCTGAGGCCATAGCCACAGCTGGCGCTGTAGGGCATGTAGGGAAAGAGTGAAATCATCTATAACCTTGCAGGCAAGTAAGAACGGATATTAGGAGAAATTCGACTTCAAAGAGAAGAAGGGGGAAATATAGTATTTTGGATAGGTAACCACATTAGAGAGCCAGCAAAGCTTTTCAGATGCTGTTTAACCCAGTTTGTCTCTCTGAATGTGTTTGCCCTTCTAAAAATTAGGATAATCATTCTGTCCTAAATTATTCTTAGTGTTTGTGGTTGTGGGTCAAATACATAGTGGGTTATCAGCACATCAAAAATTAGGTATTACACAAATATGAAGTATTATTTTAAAAAGTATTAAGTAACCTTCTGAATAAAAACTCACATATTACTGGAGTGATGTGTGAGTTTTTACATTAGATCCTATGCTAACCTTATTTTACATGCAGAAAATAATATATTAATGACAAATAACTCATATAGAGAAAACACATCTTTTTACGAAAAGTTTTCAAGAACACGACTATGCATTTGATTCTTCTATCAATTCTGTGCAATAAAGATAATTATGCCCAGTTTACAGACCGGAACACTAAAGCAGAGAGGTTAAATGAATGGCTCAAAGCGACGCAGCTCCTTAGTGGTGGGTTTAGAAACTGTGTTGTCTGCAAGTATCACACGTGTTTGTAACCTTGCTGCTTGACTCTTCCTATGTCAACTTCTCGTTGCTCATTTAGAAAAGTCTAGGTCTCTGAGGTTAGAATGCCAGAGTCTCAGTTATTTATCTTTACTTTATCTACATGGTGTTCTTTTCCATTTCTCACCAATACGAAATAAACCCTCCAATCTGTCGGTCTCTTCCTGTATACATCCATTATCCTGAAGAACCACCTAATTTACTGCCTCACTAAATGTCCTTTAGTCCCTGGCTCACTCGACTGCTGCCCTTCTGTAAGTGTCAACTCAGGTCCCATCTTCGTGTGAGACATTTCCTCAATACTTCATTCCACACAGACCTTCAATTTTCCTGAACTCTGTAACATGAGAATATATATAGAATGCATATATTACATTTAATTATAGAAATAAATTATACACTGTATCAGATGATTCCATATGTCTTAGCTTTCTCCCCCCACCTAGACTGTAAGGTCTCGTACAATACTTCTTAAGTTATTTCAGTAGCACAAGGACAGTGGTAAGAACAGAGGAGGAAGTTCTGGCATATGTTACAAAGGTCACCATTTATTAGTATTTCTCACTACAAATACATTCCACTATTGGAAAAAAATTTTGGTTTAAGTTATTTGTTAAAAAACAAACATCTCATATCACATGGTTTGAATATATGTTCATTTTGCAGAACAAAGGTCTTGCACTCCCAGATCCTTGTAATGTAACCCCTTTGTTATACATAAGTTTATGCGGTTTGCCTGAGTTTATGTGGTGGAGCAGAGACAAGAAGGGTAAGCTCTCCTCACCTTTAGACTTCCCTCCTTTCCTCCGTCCCTCCCTCCCCTCATCAATTTCAGTTCATAGCTTTTAATTCTTAAGAATCATCTTAATAAAAAAGATGTTTTATTCAAAAGACCACTGATCCTCTTTTCTCCGTCTTTTTTCCCCCTTCCAGCCCTCTTCAATCTGATTCCTGTGGGCCTGCGTGTGGTGGCCATCCAAGGGGTGAAAGCCAGCCTCTATGTGGCCATGAATGGTGAAGGTTATCTCTATAGCTCAGTAAGTACCTCATTGTGTGTGTGTGAGTGTGTATAAAAACTGACTTTGGAGTAACCGTTATTCCATTATTTCAGGACAAAAAATTGGCAGTTGATATAATTTCATGTTTTCTGACCTAGTATGTTAGAGTTGTTATGAAGATTTTACAATTTAGGATGTTGAAGATCTTCTGTTGAGAAAGAGCTGGTTACTTCCCATGCAATGTAAATTCTTTTCATCTGTCTTCCACTTCTAGAGGATAATCTATTTTTTGAATTTTATCCTTCTGTTTAATGCAAGAAGTGTCATTTTTCCTTGCTCCTGTTACCTCTTATTCAGACACAGAGGATGATTTAGGAAGCTGGATTTTTCAGTTTGTCTATGAGTCTTCCTGGTCTTATTATGGAGAAAGAACTTTCAAAATAGAATACATTTTTGTTGTACTTAATAAAATCTACATAGTACCAGATTCATCAGATTCCTGAGGTAACTGGTCACTTTAAAGGCAATGTGAATTTGTGGAATTAGCTCTGGATTAAGGGCGGGGATATTTGAGTTTTATTTGCATTTCAGTTACTATGTAGCTATCCCTTTGGGCAAGTCACATCTTGTTGACTTAATTTCTGGACCTTTAAACTTACAGAATTTTATAACTGAAACATATATAATTTTATTAACCAATGTCACCTCAATAAATTAAATAAAATATAAAATGAGGATGTTGTCTAATGTCTCTTTTAAATCTAAAGCTAATAAAATTAGGTAACATCAGTGGCTACATTATCAGCACTGACATATTTTAAAGTAGTTAATGCTATTCTGATGCCTGTCTTACTCTCAAGATAATAATTTATGCATTGAGAGAGAGTGTGGCTGCACTGAATCTTGTGTGTAGATAATTTCTGTTCTCTTCTAAGGGAGCTGTCTATTTGTAGTTCATGAAGAAATATCCTTGAAAATTGTGGATACAGATTTCTACCCTTACATTCTGTGTTCTCAGTAAATAACACAAGGTTATTCAGGAAGTTCACTCATGCTTACTGGATTCTGAATTAGTTGTTGAATAACTTCTACTAAACTTTTTGTATAGTCAATTAAATGAATCTCTGGTATATTATGCTTGATATTAGTAATATATCTGTCATTCATAACATAATTCTTAAAGTTATGGTTTTACTCTTGAACATATTCAGATCTAATTATACATTTATATACTAGATGTGTACATACACATTGTTTTCAGTAGTTTCTATCCAAATTAATTCTTAAAGGTAAATATATTTTGGGTCAAAACAATGGGCTTTATTTCTTACTGTGTCTTATTCTGACAGTTCTTGTGTCCAGTTACTCTGAGTCTATATTTTAAATGTAAAAATTAAAATAAAAAAGAAAGATAACATGTTATTTTGAATAATTCCAGCTCTCTTAAGCTTTTAAAAACAATTTAAATGTACTACAAACTAAAACATGGAGGTGATCTTAGAGTAGTATTGATTTAAGGATTTAATCAGTCATCAGGTAAACAGCTAAAGGTAGGTTATATTACATTTATTGTTATATTGAGATTATTACCTATTTTTATTTAAAAGGTCATAATTCAGGTTGTAATTCCACAAAGACTGTAAAGCTTATTTCTTTGGGCCAGAGTTTATTTCTAAAGGTCTGGGAGGAAGAAAACACAGAAAACCTGGCAGTGGTACTATAGGCAGGAGCCAGCTGTGTAGAAGCCTCTGTGTGTGTGTGTGTGTGTGTGTGTGTGTGTGTGTGTGTGTGTGTGTGTGTGGTGGGGCAGGTGGGGTGGGGTGGCGGACATGGGGAGAGGTCACCCTGTTGGATGCAGTCCCAAAGTTCCTGGGAGGAGCCTGGGCATTCCGCGTGAGGTGACTGAACCTGCTACTCTGCAGCATTTCCCAGATGCATGGCTTGAGCCCATAGGAGGAGGTTTTAAGGAATTCTTGCCAAGAGACTCTCATTGTAGGTTCCTTTTTTTTCAATAAAGAGCTAATTAATACTTTAGTAAAGCCAATATAGTCAGCTGTGGTTGAGTTACCTATTTGGGGTACCCAGATTTTCAGTTTTCCTCTTCACTTAAATGACACCTGCTTCACATCAAGAATTGCAGTGCTTTCTTCTGCTTATGATCCTGCAGGGCTCCTGGGAACAGCTTTCCTTTAATTGTAAGTGTGGCATCACTGTCATAGGTCATCAGGGTTCCTACTTTCAAAATCACTATTTTATGGATAACACTATTAGGAGATAATGCTGGTTTTTAATTTTAAATAGTGGGAGTAGGTCCGAAGACTTTGTTATAGGACTAAAGGAAGCCAATCTAGGGGAGGCAGATGTGAAAGAGAATTGGGTATCAAGGCTTCATCACACTTCATACTGCTGCTGTCTGTGAGTTACGTCTCAGCGGGAGAGCACCCATGCGTTCTGGAGCCTTGTGGTGAGTTAAAAACAGGCCCATAACAGAGTCTTTTCTTTGTGTTTTGGGATGTATTGAGGTTTGAAGTTATTTGAAAAGCAATTTGCTCCTTTATGTGAAACAAGTGTAGTTGACCGTCCCAGTCAGGGCCATATCTGCAGCATATGGTGGGTAAGGGATGGGAGAGGGATGGATGGCTGATTGGCCATCCAAGACGACCTAAAGAAACAAAATGAGCATCCAAAAGAACTTCACAAATGGTATCATTTTAGTGTCATTTACATGGTTTGTATTCACATTTAAGCCAGGAATTAATTCCCTGCTAGTACTGACTTCCACCCCCTCCCCAGGAAGAGAAAGAGAGAGTGGGAAAGGCAGGGTGATTGTTAAGTAGTGTAGAGTGAAACTTTAAGATCCATTTTGAAGATCTATGTTTTAATAGGTGAGTTCAGTCCATATGTATTAAATGAGATTATTGATGCATCTGGATTTGTTTTTATCATTGTACTTTATATATTTTTTGCTTCCATAGTCATCTTTATTTTCTTGCATTATTGAAACATTTTTTCCCTATTTTTATTCTTCTGCTGCTTTGTAAATATAGGTTATAAGTCTCTCTGTTTGGTGATTTACCCTTATTTTTAGCATACATACATAAGTATACAGTTTGCTAAATATTTTTAGTGTTTCTGTGTCTCTTCTAAACAACCGACAGACCTGAGGGTGTTTTCTTGCTTGGTGAGCACCACTGCCCTTTTTGGCAATTTGTTTAGTTACATTTTAAAATGAAATCATGTGCATAATGTTATTATTCTATAGCTAATAGTTAAACTTACTGGCCTTTAAAAAATTTCTGTGCATACAGGTTTTGTTTTGGTGCCTCTGAGTTTATTTCTCTTATAAAAGAAATCTTTGTTTTTTGTTTGAGGGTGTGTAGATGGTGAATTCATTTCATCCTGGTCTCCATGAAATGCCTTCCTTTCATTTTCACTCTGGAATTGCAGTTCAGATGGTTGTACAATTAGACTAATATTTTTATATTGCATTGATTTCTGGCATCTGTTATTGACTATCAGAAGTTTGCTGCCGGTTTAATATCCTTTCCTTCATAGGAAACCTACATGGAAAACTTAAGGGATATTTTTCTCTTTATACTTCATGTTCTGCAAGTTCACTATGATGTCTAGTTGTGACCTGTCTTAACTTATTTTGTTAGGAATTCAGAATCACCTTTTAATTCACAGAATCATAGTTCTTAAATTTTGGAAAATTTAACTCTTAACCCATACACATTTTATTTCTCTATCATGTTGTCCAATCTCTTGTGCTGGCAATACTTACAATGACTTACATTAGAAACTTCCAAATTAATCTAAAAAATTTACACCATCTTGTTTGTAATTTCACTATGTTTTTAAGGTTTGGATGTCCAATGGTTTTTGTTTACTATTTATCTGTTCCTGATTTATTTCCTCCTGATTTTACTCTCTGGCTCTTTTTACAAAAAAGTCATCAACCATTTATATCTCTGAGTATTATTATAATACTTTGTCAGACTTTTCCATAGGGTTAATTGGGTAACGAATTCATGTTTCAATTGTTGATTTTGTTGGCTGCCATTTTTAGAAGGAGATTTAGATTATATTAGAATTCAGAATGAGTTTTTAATGTGTTTGGAATTTTGATCTGCAGGCACATTTTTCTCCCTTTTCTCCTCTCCCAGATCTACTTCCTGCAAGGTCTGCCCTCACTTCCTGGCAATTTTTTGGTTATAGCTATCCAGCCTCCACTGGCCCTACTGTAGAGTCATTTAGGAGTCAGTCATTTCAAGGCTCCTATTCTAGGGTAACACTGAGGTTAGGGAAGGAGGCCTGGGTTAGGGTGTGGCTTAGTCTACTTCTCATTGTGAGGCGATGTCTATCATTGCTCCTGCCTAAAATAGTAACAGCATTTTAAAAGTTTTATTTTAACTTTATAAGAGTTGGAGTAGGACAACTATCCCAGCCCCTGGTGTGGGCAGGTAGCCTGGCTCTAGTCCTCTATTCTATATTCTAGATTATAGAATATATTCTATATTATAGAATATATTCTATTCTATAGCGGGTTTTATTGACATTTTAACCTGAGCAGAGTTCAATTCTGGGTCACAGGCCCTCCTTGAGGACCTGAGCCCAGTAGGCCTGCAGCTGTCACCTGCTCAGTGCTTTGTATTTCCATCCTACATGCAGGTACTTAGCTTGCTTTGATCCTGGCATTGTCATTTAGGCCTCATATTTTTATATTTTATTCATCATTGCTATTTGTTTGGAGCAGAGTGGATGAACTGTATTTTGAACTCATGCCCTTTCCCCCTCTTTTATTTTTTATTGTGATACCATAGAATAAAATTTACGATCTTACTCATTTTTACATGTACATTATGGTAGTGAATTAAAGAAAGAGTAACAACAAAAATGAGAGATTGCTTGATCGATTCATATCTTTTTGATCATTTAGAATTCTATACCTGAATCTGATTCTTTAGCAATAGTAGAAAATGTCAAGATTGCAAGATGACACTGACTTCATATTGAAAAACTGATAAAAAATTATTGAG